GAGTTACGCAAAATTTCATGGTATTAAATGTGATGATCCTAATAAGTTACAAAGTTCACGGGAATTAATTTTTCTAAAATTTTTGTCCAATACATAGAGGACACGTCGACCATGACCTTGATTAACATTAGGATTTCATCCAAGTTATCAGAACCTCGTTGAAAATGATGCATATGCATTGAATGAATGCATCAAGTTCTAGCTATAAAAGGAGGATATTAGCAATGGTTCATTATCAACATCTCAAAATTTGTCTAAAATGGCACCTCGTAAACCCATCACCAGAGATACAACAAAAAAGAATCACAGAAAGGGCCCGTCTTGTTCGAGAAGAACAAGGTGATTTTTATCCTGGAAACAGCATGAGAGCTCCATTGGACATATCCTCAGAGTCAGACCTCGGGCACTATGATAGATTCATCACATATGAATCTGGAGAAGAACCTTCAATGGCAAATCCAAAAGAAGAACTTCCTCTTATCGTCAGAATGGGCTTCCTATCTGAAAAATCCTGGAATGATCCAGACATGGACAAGGATCTTCGTAGCTTCCTCAGAACATATGACTGCAAATCCGAACTTGTTGGATATCCAGAGGTATATCCTTTTGCTGAAACCGAATCCTCCGTTGGTTCATCTCGTCCTGACTCCTCAACACTTAAGAAAAAAGCAAGAAAAGATAGGGAGAACCCAGTAAGGCGAAGAAAGGAAAAGAGAAGAAGTAGAATCTTCTCAAAATATCTTAAGATGTAATCTGGTATTCTTCGCTTGGAATAAAATGTGGTTTATTATGTTTCAATCTCTTTCTCACAGAGAGATATATCTTTATTTGATTTATTTTATCTTGTTGAGAATCGAATCATAACTGATGCACAAGTCCCTATGAAATCTCGTGACTGTTACATTTTCTCCGTGGCCATCATTAAATTACGTGCTAATGGTCAAAGCCGTAATAAATGGCTCGATGAATAACATAAAGACATTGAATGGTCATTCAATGCTCACAACACTCAATGCTAAATCTCAGCTACAAAAGGTCGTGAGTTGTGAACACAAATCTCAAATAAACACATTTCTCTCCCCAAACTCAGAAACAGTTTGATCATGGCATCTCGAAGGCCAGTCACACGTCTACAAACTAAGCAGCAGAAAGAATCTCGAAGGCCAGTCACACGTCTACAAGGAGATTTTTACCCTGGAAATAGCGTGCATGCTCCCCTAGATCTCTCGTCGGATGATGAACAGCCTGAAAAAGATGATGTATCTCTCACCTCTGAAGATGAAGAGAACCCCATTGCTGATCCTCATGAAGTTCCACCACCAATTGAAGGAGGACGAGACTTTCCAACTGCTGAAGACTGGAAAAATCCCCGTGCTGACCATGACTATCTCATGTACCTAAGCACTAACGCCAATGAATTTGACGCTGGTAGTGAAGAAAGGCCAGCACCTACTCCTTCTGGGTCTAAGTCAGTCAAGACCGCGAAATGGTTTCGCAAGGAGTTAGACAAAATGATGTCAATGAGAAGTGTGGAGGACAAGGACGTGAAGGGAAAAACAATGAAATAACTTTCCTTTGTTTAATATCTTTTCTATGTACTCTCATCTGATGTTTCTCCTGGATCATCATCAATAAATATCCTCTCATTGCATCTTGCTGAAACCTTACTTGTTTCGTCTTTTATCTAACTCGAAACGATGCCACACGAAATGTCTAAACGAGATAAGTAACTCTTTATTTGATTTACTTTATCTTCTGAGCATGCTATGTCACATCTATCTCATTTCGTCAGGAATCTTCTTCCGAAACATTAGAACTCTATATCTTTGTGTGTCTAGTCTTTCACACATGGAATATGTGTCAAACCTCGGTATGAACGGCCATTCCTACCTATAAATAGACACATCTTGCAATAGAATGCTCATTCCAATTCGTGACAATGGATAAGGGAAAGAAAAAGATATCCTCCTCTGTATCCTTGCCGAAGAAAGACTTGAAAGAAGTTCAAGAGATGTTCAAATCTCTTAGCCTATCTACTGAGCATAGAGAAAGTTCTCATGGATCGTCTACCAAAAAGCTTCACTCAACTATTCGGGAAAATGTTCGTCCTCCACTTGGTCCATCCAATCTCACGATGAATGCTTTTAAGGAAGATCCATCTTACACTTGGTCATCTCTATGTTTCGTATGCGCTATCTCTCTACAAATGAATCGTGGTCACAAAATCGTCATAACCGAGACTTTCTTCAAGTGGTCACAGCATGGTATTTATTTAACTCTCGTGAAAAATCACATCTCTTTTAGAAGATAAATGCACTGATAGTTATTTGGAATTAAGAGGTTATACCGTAACAGTTCGATGGAGTTGATCGAAGTGATCGTGTGGCCACAAACCTCGGCCCACTACCCCATGCACCTCTGTCAGTTGATGCGACCGGTATTTAATGCGGGTGTTTTGCACTCAAGTGCTGTTCTCTCTCATATTTAATTGGGAATGATCAAAATTGATCTGATACTGGACTTATCAGAGTCACTTACCATATCAGATTACCTTATTGGTAGAATGGGAAGAGTCACTCTCATTCAAATTCAAATACAGGCCGGGTTACCCGGGTAATTATCTTGGCCCATGTGAAAACCCATTGAAAAACCCTCTCCTTTATAACCTAAACCATCATCTCCTTGTCACTTTTCTAATATTTGCAAGACTTCTTCAATACTCTAAGTCTACAATCCTCTTCGTAATCATCAACTCTCCCTCCCAAACCTAGAAAACACATACCTCCATATCTGATGCCATGGCAAAGAAATCCAAAGTTTCAGCATCAGACACCGAACCAGAAACACCGACAACAATGGTGGTACCCAGCTTTACAACCTCCGACATCAACTTTATTGAGTCAAGGAGTCCATTCATCATAGGCGGATGCATGTGGGATGCTCATGGTTTTCTTGAGTATGTCCTTGACAGATCATTTGGAGAAGACGTGATTCATCTCTTGAATGAAAGTGGGTTGTACAACTTTGAAACTCATCTATATAAGTACTGGTTTCAGGTGGACGTTGCTCAGTTCTATCTGAACGCCACTGTATCCGCCGACGGTTCAGAAATCTCATCGGAACTCAATCGCACCGCCATAACACTAACAGTTGAAGACGTAAGGAAAGCTTTCAACTTCCCGGATCAAGATGAGACATATCATTATGACTTCTCTGGATATTACTACGAAAAGAATGCATTCTATGAGAAGATCAAGAATAAACAAGGACCAGCATCAACCGAGATCACCTGGCCCTTATAGAAGAAATGGTTTCACTTGGACTACGAATTCACTGTTGACATATTCAACAAAATTGTAGAGCACAAAACTTCGGGGATAGACGATGTAACCAAGGATAAGTTGAAAATGTTGCACGCCTTTCTCGGGGAATACAAAGTGGACTGGTCGAAAGTTGTCTTCAATCAACTTCGACACGTCATCACCAATGGACGATCGTCACCAGGAGATATTACAAAGAAAATTGGCTATGGTTTTTTAGTAAGCCATCTTCTCGCCACAAAGAAAGTTCCCTTATGTGCTGGAGTCTCACATCGGCGAAAGGTATGTCATATGAAATCCAAACCCTCTTGATATGACAAGCAGAAAGCACTAGAGCTTAGATTGCAATTGGACTTGGTGAAAAAGGAACGGAAGTCCAAAAGAGCCAAAAAAAACCGATGATGATATGCCCAAGGCCAAGAGATCGAAGAAAGACAAAGACTCCTCCGCACCAGAGATGAAAGTTCAATCTGCCGCTCAACCTGTATTCGAGACAAAAGCTTCATCTGTAGTTTCACCCGAATCTGAGAAGCAAGTTACACCAACAGTTCAACCAGTTCCTGAGATTACAAAACCGAAACCTCCAGCTGGTACCAAGAAAGAAGACCCTCAGAAGACGCCCCAAATTTCAACAACAGAACCTGTCATCATTGATGATTCTTTCGAAGGAGAAGATGTTGCATTATCCAGCCCTGTACAAGCATCAAAAAGTCATTTTCGACCTACCATCACTAAAGCAAACGAAATCATTGCAAGATTAGCTCCCCCTCCTGCATCCACCTTAAGAGCAAAGTTGAAAAAGAAGTCTGGATCTTCTTAGGGGGAAGAGAAGAAACGTGATTCATCCTGAAAAGCCTCAAAGAAGCGAAAGACGAGATCTGATAGCGCAGAAAGTTTAAAGCAAACTTCCTTGCCACAAGAACCCATCCCAGTAGAGCAACTCAACACGAGTTTGACACAAGAACCTGCTGCGGTGGAAAAGGATGCTCACGATACTCCAGCTCTAAATGGCCACTTAAGTCTCCCACAAGAACCTGGATTGCCAGATCAGACGAGATAAGTGGTCAATAATCCAATCATTCTCACAACACCGGCTGTTGAAACTTCCTTCCCACAAGAACCTACCCGTGCAGAGCAGATAGTTCCTATTCTGACACAAGAACCTGTTATGGTTGATGAGGACGAAAGTATGCCACAACCTTCCAATCACTTAAGTCTCCCAAAAGAACCTGGTCAGTAGCTGAGACGAGAGAAGTGATTACATAGCCTCAAACCGATAAGAAAGAAGCTCTACCTGAACCCGAAGTCACTCAGGAACCTGCCAAACCAGTGGACTCGAGAGCTGTTGTGCAAGCACCTGAAACTATTCCACATCCTGCCCCTTCGAAAGACCAACTGCTTCGTCAATCAATTGAGAATGACTTTAACAGAGTCATGCAGTGGCAAATATGGCGAACATCACCTCTGCAAACTTTTCTTGAAACATTTGACGAAATGAAGGATGAAGAAGACTTTGCTCTGGAGTGGCTTGGCACACAAGACGTTTACAATGCAATCCGTCTCGAAACCATAAATCGTGTATATTCCTACAAGGTGAACAATTGCACTCTTGGAAAAGACAAAGCTCCCATCTGAATTGAGCTAAATAAGCCGCCTTTGGATCCTGCTTATGAAGAAGAAATGAAAGAGTTCAGATATGCTCTTCTTTTATCCAAAGTAAAAACGAAATTAGAAAAAACCCATCAGAATGATCCAGCTTGTAATGTTAGCGGATTCAAGGATGACGAAGGGAAGGAAATCGCGGATGAAGACGGAAGACTAACTACAGAACACGATACCAGTGAGGATAACTCAGAAGCAGATGAGTCTCCAAATAACGATGAAAATGATGATGGATACGATAAAAATGATGAAGATGCCAATGACGAAGACAATGATGATGAAGAAGAAAGTAATAATGAAGAAGATGATGACATGAAGGATGACGATGATGAACATGATGATGATGATTCGGGAAATGATGATGACGATGATGGCAATTTGGGTTATAATAGCGAATCTCCTATCATTGGCAATACCGAATACGTACCCGATAGATCCCCAGCACCTCGCTCATCTCCACCTAAGGACAATTCCGCTCATGATCCGTCTCACTCTATGCCTCCACCAAGACAAAGTGAAGCTGTTGCAAATCAAGCTCGTGATGATAAAATGGAAGCATCACCTGGTGATGAATCGCTGGAAACATCGCCTCCAGAAATGCCATTTGAACACAGAAGTTCTCTTCAAAAACGTATGCTTCTTTTTCCCGAAAGAAGTCCCACTCTCGACCATCTTGATCCCGAGAACATTATGCATCAGATGTTGAACACAGTCCGTCTGGCCGAGCTTATTCATCAGCAATATCTAATTCATAGAGAGCATGACGCCCTAACCTTAGCTAGACTGTGTGATAAGGTCGACAGCTTGATGAAGACAAATTCTCAATAGCAACCGAGCTTATCTACTGCCGATTTCCAAGAGAAGATAACACAGGACCTCCATCGTCAAAATGATCTTCGCGACAAGATTGCAAAAGAACAGCATGCCCTTAAACTATCCCAATTCGCCCTCAAAGAGAGAGTTGACCTTGCCTGCACAAAGGTAGACTTAGGGCATGACAACATGTTTCAGATAGGTGAATATCTGTAACACCCCGTGTTACGGCCTTCAATCCCGGATTAATTATTTAATTAATCCCGTTAATAATAATTAAATATGATTTAATTATGTTAGATTTACCTTTAATTAATTAGTGAGGTCCACCATGAATCGTGGACCCTTGCCCGAATAAGAGTCTTAAGCCTATTAGGAATAAAGGAAGTAGGCCTTTTACTATTCAGATTAGGATTAGGATTCTCTTTAATTAATATGATCCACTATGGACGATGGACCCTTATCCCTAAAACAAGCCCTAGCCCTATAAGGAATAGAATTAGTAAACCCATACCATTTAGGCCCTAACTAGGAGTCTTAAATATATAAATAGGGAACTTAGGAGGCACCTAGAATCCCCACCACATTAATCTCTCACCACCCAAAGAGTTCCAAGAATTCCCCTAGGAGAAATCAAGAAATCAAGAAAGCTTAAAGAAAGATCCTTCATAGCCAAGGAATTAATTAAGGCTAAGAGGTAACCCATGTCTCAACAAAACCTATTTTCATAGCTATGATTCCCCCTTAGGGTTTCCCCCATATTATTGTGTATTGGCGAGATATGATGATTATTATTGATGTTTGATGTGATGATCCCATGAGAGATCTTGATAATCTTGATATTGGGAGATTCTTGATAATTATGGTGTTCTTGATGACTATATGGGGATCTTGATAATTATATGGAATTCTTGATGATTATGTGATGTTCTTGATGGTTGGATGTTATCCTTGATGCTTATGTGTTATTCTTACCGAATCTTGTAATTATAAGGCAAATCGTATTCCTGTTGATGTAAAAGTGATTAGAACCCTAGGTTGTATCGTATGATTTATCGGGAGGGGAAATCGCATGTTTGGGTGTCGGTTATGATTAGAAAAGCATGATAGGTTATGTGCCGTTCGTTTCTCGTATTTGATCCGTTAATTGTCTACGAGTTGTCGTTAATTGCGTTGAAAAGTGTCTAAGCATGGTTTCGGGTTCCACAACGGTTCCCGGGGTGAAAAGTGATAAAAAGAGTCAGTGGGGGGTAGGTGGGGGGTAGGGGACCCGCCACCTACCCATGGCCGTAAAACACCGCCCGGCAGCGGGTGGCCGGCGGGCGGGCAGCTGCCCGCCGGCGACCCGCTGCCCGGAACAGTAGAATCTGGCGGGTGGCCCCCACCCACCGGCTACCCGCTGGAAAATTGTCCCACCCGGGACCCCGGCTTCCCCGTTTGATGTTTCCCCTTTCCCCGTGGTGTCCCAACGGACTCCGTTTATCGTGCCTATGTCTAGTTTGATGTTTCGGGTACCGTTCGTAGGTTTATGAGTGTATTGTATTGCATGCTAGTTGAATTGGTATCCCGTTGACCTAGGTGGAAGGAGTATGAACCCCTTAGGACTATTCTTAGTATGTGATGGATCACCATAGGTTTTGTTATACGTTTTCTCCCCCTTCTTAATGTGTAATGTGGGTTGCATGTGCTTGCTATGTGTTATGTGTGTGTGTTACCCCAATTCGGTTGCGATCGGATTGGTTATCCTGAGCTGCGGTTCAGAAGCTGGCTGCGGTCAGATTGATACTCTTGGGCTGCGGTCCACCGTTTGGTTGCGATCAAACGTTTCTATATGAGCTGCGGTTCGTCCTTTTTCCTGGCTGCGGTCAGATGACATTCTCTTGGGCTGCGGTCCACTGTTTGGTTGCGATCAAACACTATGATGAGCTGCGGTTCATCGGTCGGTTGCGATCGACCCCTCCGTGTTGCGATACGGGGCAGGGTGCTGCGGGGCCGTGTCAGAGCTATATGCGCTGACCCTCATGTATGGGCATGCGATTGGTCCTGTGGCGCCAACAAAGTGTGTTATGTGTTGTGACAGGGACGAGTTGTGATTACGAGTATCTTGGGGGATGTGACTATGGGATTTATGTTGGGGATTGTTTATGTTGGGTTGTGACTATTGTTTATGCTTTGCCTTATCTGCCTTATCTGTTGTGAACTGCATATGTTTGTTATAACTGTTGCTCGTGTCTGGCCTTATCTGTCGAGTCATTCCCGGTTTTAAAAGCTAGAGTTCGTAGGATATATCTTCATGCTCAAAATGGTTTTCGTATGTCTATATATATCTCTATATGTATTGTATTTCAACGCGTTGGAGTGGGTTACCAGCATCTCTCGCTGAACAGATATATTTGGCTTTCAGGCACCGAAGATTAAGTCACTGGAGTGCGCTAGAACTTAGAAGTAGATAGTTTCCCTTTTGGCCTGCGTGCCACGTTTACGTATTTACGCTTTGAGGATATAGTTAGCCTGTGCACTTGGGTTCTCTAGCCCAGGTGTGGCATAGCACCCCGAACGCTTGTATTTATATCTTGGGATTTAATAAGATTCTACCTTTATTATAAGTTTTAAATGTCTTAAAAATCTGGGGTGTTACAGTTGGTATCAGAGCTTAAGTTTGACCCTAGGATAAGACTCTTAAGACCGGACTTTAGGGCACTAGGCTTGAACTCTAGGTACTTGGAAACATATGATCCAGGGATCTTAGGACGCGCAGTGAGATTGTGAAACCTACACATAACCTCCCTTTACTTCATCCCTCTCTAACTTAAAGGAACCTCCCCCTACGCTTACCACACCAGGTAAGGGTGCGAATAGATAAGTTTTCTTCCACAACTGGGTAACGTACACTTACCCGATAAATCGCCTCGTCCTAACTCCCGTCAAAAGACTTGACAAGGACCCTGACCAAAGAAAAGGAAGATTTGGATGACTACTAAGAAGAGGCGTTACAGTCAGGACTGCTAAAAGGGACGGACTGCATTACGCACCAACCCAGGGTAACCACGATAACCCCCGATTCAGACAAATGGCATGCACCTTCCGACAAGTTGCTTTATCTCGGCAAACCCAGGTTGCGGCGACAACAAACAGGAAAGAGAACTAGAACACTGATTAAAGTAGCGGATGAACGACACCATTAGTCGAATCCTTGGGTGCAAGGTAAGTATATCGCGACACCTTGCGACCCCACCACCCCAGTTTAAAATATCATCCGCCCTGAAACCCCAGCATCTTGATACCCCTATTTGTTGAAAACTCCCACCCCGAATCCTTAATTACCGTAAGAGCAAATTCACAACCGTCATGACCTTGCTCACCCTTTGTTGCACCTAACCCAAACCCTCGGAAACCCTAAATTGATATGAGCATTGGAATCATCGCCCTTACTCTATGTTCATATCCCCACTCCTTTTGGAAACCCTGTTAAAAACCGTAGAGCAGCATAAAGCCCTTACCCTGCCCAGGGGCGTGAAGAATCGACATTCATTGATCCAATATTAAAATAAGTTGTTAGATAGGAATCGGCGAAGTAGGTGGAAGTTACGAATACGTATCATCCCACCCTTGCACGAAAACCGTGAAGGCGTTACGAGAAACCATAGCCGGTACGTACGCCATGCGTTGACAAGAGCAGGCAAACAAATACGTTCAAAGTGTCAGGGGCCCTCGCTACAGAAAACATCGTCAAATAGGTGTAACAGGCCGAACCTCAAAGCGGATATAAAGCCTTGCTAAGAATTTCATCCACCAACCCGAAACCCCCTTGACCCTTAAGAACCCTCGGCAAGGATTAGGAGTCAAGACCTAGGGATTTGACCCACTAACCGACTGGGTCCAGACTCCTGAACATCCGAGGGGAACATGCACGGAAACCATCACGAGAATTCCCTTGGAAGCCATAGAGACGAAGGGGACTTCGACACGGGAAGAGAAGATCAAACGAAAATCTTAGAATCAAACAAAGCCAAGGAAAAGGGATCACCAGTTCGACTGCACGCCACAACCAAGCCCTAAACAGGCATAATCACTCGAAGCCAAGACTCCTTAGCCCCTTTCCCTCCCCATGCAAATCAAGTACCATTTCGTTAAAGAATCCGTCCTATCACTCCAAACCTCGCTCTTGATCCCTCATTACAGACGAACCCGTACAAGGTGGCAACCTTCCTTCCTGTATTACGACCTTGAGACATCGACCCTATCCGCCCCTCGACTTTGAAACCTAGCCCTTGCACTCCTTACACCCCTTTAAACCCAGACCAAGAAAACATAGATATATATATGTATGTATATCTACCTCTAGAACTCGTGCTTAAGGATCAATGAACATTGTACGATGGGTCATCCTATGTATCCAAGTCCCTTTAATTGTGCACAAGGGCATGGGACTTGTCAGGACATGAATCTGTGCATTTTTGGGGTCTTTTCCGAAGGAATTGACTATTCCTAGTCACTTTCCCGCGGGTCCCCAACGGGTCCTTGATGGGACCTTGGCGGGTCCTTGGCAGGAGCTTGGCAGGCGGACGACCGCCCACCTCGCGCCCACTGGTACAATGTGCTGATTTCTTAACCCCTCATTTTATTGATTTGTGGCGCACTTGTGTGCCTCGATTGAGGAATGTGAGTCTTGGGTAAGGAACCATGGACCACCCAAACATAGTGTCCTACGTAAAAGACCTTGACGCATGAGACACCATCGGGAAATCACAATCAATTACATTGCACGAGTAATTGAAATCGGATCCTACGATACAACCGACTAGGGATGTTTGGCGTAAAGGATTGCGCAAACCAAGGAGGCGAGTTGGGAACTCGTACTAAGAACCCACGAAAACCTTAAAAGTCAAAATGCTAAGGAGGGACCGGGACTCCTCCAAACCATGGACATCGTTCGAGCAAATCAGAGGACTCCTTACAAGTTGTATGGAATCAAGAACTACGTAGCCCATGGTGCTAAGCAAAAGGGTGAAGAACACATTCGCGCCAAGACTTCAAGGGTCATTAAGGACCTACAAGGAGATGAGGTGACTCGTAAAGTCGCCGAGTCATCCCACAACGAGATTTGGTAACCGACTGCGCTTTAAAAGAAAAAGGGCACGCAAGGACACCTTCATCATTAAAAATAACACAAACAGGGCACAACAATGCCGAACCTCGGGTAAGACATGAAGTCTTACTAAGAATTTCATCCACTAAAGAGGAGATGAAATTCAATAAGAAGAGAAATTCAACCCAAAGTCCATCGACTCCCAAGAGACTTTGGGAAGAATTTGGGAAGTGCGCCCTAAGAGATTGGCTTAGTTGACCCAACTTGGTCAAGACCTTGGGCGCATTAAAGAAGTAAGTGTTGAATCACCACGGGAATTTCCCTCAAGATAGAAGAGAAGGATGAAACCTTAGCCCGGGAAGCAAGGTCTAACAAGGATCTTAAAGTCAAGCAAGTACCAACACCAAGGAAGGAGGATCATCAGCTCGTCGACGCATCGTGATCAAAGCATCTAGCCAGATTATTCACTTGGGATCGAGAAACCTTAACCCATCCTAGCCGAATTCCTTTCCCTTCCTCGGAAAATCGGCCTCCTCCTTATTTCAAAACCCTTTCTACCCTTCAGACCCCATTCGTAATCCCATGTTTTAACGATTCCATACAAGGTGGCAACCTCACAACCTAAGTTGCAACCTTGAAAACTTGATCCTAATTCCTGAATTCACCGTATCCTCAAGTTTGAAACCCACTCTCTTAGCCCTGTAAACCTAATCGTTCCCAAAAAAAACCCAACACGCATAGGCGTACAAGTATACAATTTCCCTGTGGAATACCCTCCCTATAGGACCACGGTTCTACTCTTGACTCGTTAACCCTGCAACGATTTCCAACCTTCGGGGACGAAGCTTCTCGTAAGGGGGGGGGGGGGGAGAGTGTAACACCCCGTGTTACGGCCTTCAATCCCGGATTAATTATTTAATTAATCCCGTTAATAATAATTAAATATGATTTAATTATGTTAGATTTACCTTTAATTAATTAGTGAGGTCCACCATGAATCGTGGACCCTTGCCCGAATAAGAGTCTTAAGCCTATTAGGAATAAAGGAAGTAGGCCTTTTACTATTCAGATTAGGATTAGGATTCTCTTTAATTAATATGATCCACTATGGACGATGGACCCTTATCCCTAAAACAAGTCCTAGCCCTATAAGGAATAGAATTAGTAAACCCATACCATTCAGGCCCTAACTAGGAGTCTTAAATATATAAATTGGGAACTTAGGAGGCACCTAGAATCCCCACCACATTAATCTCTCACCACCCAAAGAGTTCCAAGAATTCCCCTAGGAGAAATCAAGAAATCAAGAAAGCTTAAAGAAAGATCCTTCATAGCCAAGGAATTAATTAAGGCTAAGAGGTAACCCATGTCTCAACAAAACCTATTTTCATAGCTATGATTCCCCTTAGGGTTTCCCCCATATTATTGTGTATTGGCGAGATATGATGATTATTATTGATGTTTGATGTGATGATCCAATGAGAGATCTTGATAATCTTGATATTGGGAGATTCTTGATAATTATGGTGTTCTTGATGACTATATGGGGATCTTGATAATTATATGGAATTCTTGATGATTATGTGATGTTCTTGATGGTTGGATGTTATCCTTGATGCTTATGTGTTATTCTTACCGAATCTTGTAATTATAAGGCAAATCGTATTCCTGTTGATGTAAAAGTGATTAGAACCCTAGGTTGTATCGTATGATTTATCGGGAGGGGAAATCGCATGTTTGGGTGTCGGTTATGTTTAGAAAAGCATGATAGGTTATGTGCCGTTCGTTTCTCGTATTTGATCCGTTAATTGTCTACGAGTTGTCGTTAATTGCGTTGAAAAGTGTCTAAGCCTGGTTTCGGGTTCCACAACGGTTCCCGGGGCGAAAAGTGATGAAAAGAGTCAGTGGGGGTAGGTGGGGGGTAGGGGACCCGCCACCTACCCATGGCCGTAAAACACCGCCCGGCAGCGGGTGGCCGGCGGGCGGGCAGCTGCCCGCCGGCGACCCGCTGCCCGGAACAGTAGAATCTGGCGGGTGGCCCCCACCCACCGGCTACCCGCTGGAAAATTGTCCCACCCGGGACCCCGGCTTCCCCGTTTGATGTTTCCCCTTTCCCCGTGGTGTCCCAACGGACTCCGTTTATCGTGCCTATGTCTAGTTTGATGTTTCGGGTACCGTTCGTAGGTTTATGAGTCTATTGTATTGCATGCTAGTTGAATTGGTATCCCGTTGACCTAGGTGGAAGGAGTATGAACCCCTTAGGACTATTCTTAGTATGTGATGGATCACCATAGGTTTTGTTATACGTTTTCTCCCCCTTCTTAATGTGTAATGTGGGTTGCATGTGCTTGCTATGTGTTATGTGTGTGTGTTACCCCAATTCGGTTGCGATCGGATTGGTTATCCTGAGCTGCGGTTCAGAAGCTGGCTGCGGTCAGATTGATACTCTTGGGCTGCGGTCCACCGTTTGGTTGCGATCAAATGTTTCTATATGAGCTGCGGTTCGTCCTTTTTCCTGGCTGCGGTCAGATGACATTCTCTTGGGCTGCGGTCCACGGTTTGGTTGCGATCAAACACTATGATGAGCTGCGGTTCATCGGTCGGTTGCGATCGACCCCTCCGTGTTGCGATACGGGGCAGGGTGCTGCGGGGCCGTGTCAGAGCTATATGCGCTGACCCTCATGTATGGGCATGCGATTGGTCCTGTGGCGCCAACAAAGTGTGTTATGTGTTGTGACAGGGACGAGTTGTGATTACGAGTATCTTGGGGGATGTGACTATGGGATTTATGTTGGGGATTGTTTATGTTGGGTTGTGACTATTGTTTATGCTTTGCCTTATCTGCCTTATCTGTTGTGAACTGCATATGTTTGTTATAACTGTTGCTCGTGTCTGGCGTTATCTGTCGAGTCATTCCCGGTTTTAAAAGCTAGAGTTCGTAGGATATATCTTCATGCTCAAAATGGTTTTCGTATATCTATATATATCTCTATATGTATTGTATTTCAACGCGTTGGAGTGGGTTACCAACATCTCTCGCTGAACAGATATATTTGGCTTTCAGGCACCGAAGATTAAGTCACTGGAGTGCGCTAGAACTTAGAAGTAGATAGTTTCCCTTTTGGCCTGCGTGCCACATTTACGTATTTACGCTTTGAGGATATAGTTAGCCTGTGCACTTGGGTTCTCTAGCCCAGGTGTGGCATAGCACCCCGAACGCTTGTATTTATATCTTGGGATTTAATAAGATTCTACCTTTATTATAAGTTTTAAATGTCTTAAAAATCTGGGGTGTTACAGTATCAGCTCACTATGCTCGAGTATGTCAAAGATGTCTTAAATGCGGTTAATACTCTAACCAGGTTTTCTGCCTCCCCATGTGTTGATGCCAAAAAGGGGGAAAAGAATAGAAAGGATGATGATAAGGACGAAGACAGAAATAGATCACCACCTAATCTTGGTGAATCCAGGAGAAACAGTGAAGGAAAAACCACGAGACATGAAGAAAGAAGAAGCTCACCTAGAAACACGAGATCGTCACCTCCAGTATCCTGATCTCGACAACAATACACTTCAAGATCAATACAACATTCCATCAAAACTCGTCATTCCTTCGGATCCACTTCTGAGTTCTCATTCTTTGGGAAGACGAACATAGAGAAAAAGAACCTTCGCCAAAAGCTTATGCGAAAGGACACTGTAACAATGGACACCACATGAAACTTCCTCACTTATCAACCATATGAAGAAGGAAGTGGAAAACGCTTTGATGGGTACAATATACCTGTGTGGATGAAGAAGAGAGATAACTACTTCAGGCAAGTCCAACATAGTCAAAGCAATGAAGAAATCAAGAAGGCAAATCTTGAGCTATGGAATAAGCAAGAAGAGGCGAGACTTGCCAGAGAAAAGGAGTTGATTGAGCGAGAAAGGGTAAAGGATAAAATCAAGGATGTAACGAAAGTCAAGAAAGATGCTAAATCAGGAGTCAAATATAATGCTGCATTCAAGATCCACGCAGAATCAGGGAAGAGGTACACCGAAGGGATGCACTCGTTTGAGCTCATTGCCTGGTGGAATCTCGGCATCATTGAAGGATAAAACATCCTCGAAGCATACAATAACTATGTGAGTTGCAACATTAAAAGAAAATATGAAGACCTCGTCAGAGAAAATCCAATCCGAAAGTTCAGAGAGCATATCAACCGAGAAATTGACATGGACAGGATGCTCAAACAACAAAAGGAAAGAGATGACAAAGAACGAAAGGAGGCCCAACTACAGAAGGCGAAACTTTTAGATATGTAAAAGTTTTTTCCACCATGCCTTTGACAATATTTTGTAAGTGTTTTTGATCTTTATAAAAGTCACCTTTTGATTCTATCTATCGTGTCTCTATCTAAGTTACCTGTTATATTTGTTTGTAATTATCTTTATGTTTATTAGAAAGCGAATGTAAACTCTTCTGCTTGGCTGTTTTGAAATGAAAAATCCCTTATGGGAAAATTATCGGCCTTATAAGCAGAGTATAGGTTTTGGCATCATCAAAAAGGGGGAAATTGTTAGGAACATATGTATTAGGATTTTGATGATACCAATGTAACTTAGAAGTAGACACATGGTTGCAAAAATCGCTCCTAGGTGCCAATTAATCGGCGCCTAGGCGCTAGGCGACTGCCGGCCGCCGCGAGGAAGGCCGGAATCGGCCTCCTCCGAGGCCGGCCCGCTAGGCGGTCTAGGCGGCCGCCTAGACCGCCTAGCCGGCCGGTTCGGCGAGTTTTTTATTTTTTTTTTAATTTTTTTTTTGTGTTGTAAAACTGGAAAAGTTCGGGATGGCATAACTTTTGACTCGGTTGTCTGTTTTGGTCCACTTATTTCTCCAAAAAATTCTTCTTTTGCCCTTAATTTTAGTTTTTTTTTTTTTTATGTATTTAGATGGTTTAAACAATCTTTTGAATACTTTTACAACCACTTATGTAAATAGTTTGTAAGAAATAACTCTGGAAACCTTATGTATTATTACTAAATTTTAAAAAAATTTAATTTTTAACTAAAAAAAATAAAAAATATAAAAAAATATATAAAAAATCGGCGCCTAGGCGCCGAACGTGTTTTGCAACATTGAGTAGACCCCTAACTTTTTGTCATTTATTCTGTTACCTTCGTCTTAGATGAAAGGTACCATAACTCACTGTGTAATTCGTGGTAAGTTAGCCAAATACACGAATGCTGTCAAATGTCTCAGCTGATGGATCATCCTAGTAATAAGTATTCCTAAGAATGAGAGCAAGCTTATCTAGGTGCATTAAATGCCATAGTAGCACTATTCAGAGCTAGAAGACAAAACATGCAGTAGTTCTTGTCTCCAACATCTATATGGTACAGCTGCATTTAATGAAGCAATAAATGCACTAGGCTCTCTGGTCTTTAACCACTGGATAATAGGTTTGAAATATCATCTCCCTCCAACGGATGGATATTTTCTCTCCCATAAATACCAATCTTCTCCATGATAGAAGATGCTGGTTTTTATTACAACTGATCGTACATACTCAAAAGCTCCTTATACAAGTTCACTCTCTCAAGCTTTTGAAAACCAGTGTTCAAAGGTGTGAAGTTTAAAAGAAGAAATATCAGAATTCATCTTCACAACCTTGAAGAAGTCTTGCACATTGTATACGCTGATCATCCAATCTTCAACCATCCAGTCAAGACGTCAACCAGTTGGAGAAACACACAAATCTTTTCTACCAACCCTCAAATCTGAAGAAGACGTTGATAGAGGCGGAGTAAACTCTCGGAGTTGAAAAACCTTCAAGTTGGTGTCCACCCTAGTGATCAAGGAAGCTATCTTGGTGTAATTTGTACTAGAAGTGATAGTGCAAACCTTTCACGAGCTGTGAAAGAGTAGTGGAGTAGGCACAGTTGGCCGAACCACTATAAAATCTCTTGTCTCTCTCTCTCTTTATTCTTTCACTACTTTTCCTTCGTGCATTGCATATCATTCCACATTAAACGAAAGATATCTCAAAATATCAAACAGTGCAAAGTATTCTAAAACTCGTATAACATATCCGCTCCGTAATAACCTCGAAAGGAGTTATTTTTGAGAAAAACGAGTTGAGTCTACTCACCCCCCCCCCCCCCCTCTTGACTCTCCTTTCGACCCTACCGGGACCAACAAATATTATTTGATATATATCCAAAATATATATATATATACACACAAATATATATATATATATATATATATATATATATATATATGTATATATGTATATATATATATATATATATATATATATGTATATATATATATATATATATATATATATATATATATATATATATACATATATATATATATATATATATATATATATATATATATATATATATATATATATAGATGTGTATTCAAATGAGGACAGGTATATTATAGAGGACTGTGAGGACAGATGTAGTGTGTGTCATTAGCTGGTATGTCGTGTGCATGGCCGAAGGTAGTCGTGTGCCACAGATTGTATATCGCGTGCTAGATTTGTTAATTTATAGAGCCTGGGTTCGATACCTGATGTTTACATTTATTCTTGTGTGCCATTATGTATTAAGTTGTGTGTCTGGTATTAATTTGTTGTGTGCCCATTATTTGTCCTCACAATCCTCTATATATTGTTGTCCTGATTTGAACTCAACCCTATATATATATATATATATATATATATATATATATATATATATATATATATATATATATATATATATATCAGATCACCACGGTTATATGCATGAATATCTACGGAAAAGATACATACATATCAACCAAATGGAACTTATAATCCACAGATTATAATTCCAACCAACCTATATCAAAAAGAGAGGATTTTTGCTTAGAAGCATAATCCAAGACCGAAAGAAGGAAAGATGGCTCGTTTATGGGTATAGGGTTTTTAGCGTGAGTCAAGAGACCACTCTTTCCATAAAACCTTATTTGCCACCACCCAAAAGTTCTAGGAGCGTCGTGGCCTAGGTTTCCCAGGATAAAACGCGCTACGGTTCAACGTTTGAGCACCCAAATGAACGAACCCGGCGAATTAAAGCAAAGCCTTGAACACAGTTAGGCTAAAGAAAGGAGTTGAAGAAGAAGGATTTTGAAGCTGAAAAAGTATATTTCTTGTTATGTACTTGTACATTGTGTCGTTAAAAGTCTTCTGCCCTCTACCCCTTCTTATATAGGGGAGGAGTACTTAATAGCATTCATCATGACATTAATTACACATTGTGTAACATCCGAAACAGCAACCCCAAGTTTCGGCCCTAGGCCAAAACATTCAGCTTTGCCAAGTTTCGGCCCAAGGCCGAAACATTGCTGCTCCGTTCCGTTTTGGTCTGGCCGAACCCAAGCGGCTAGTGTGTTGGTTAGAAAAATGATACCGAAAGTTCCATATTGGTCTGGCCGAACCCAAGCGGCTAGTGTGTTGGTTGGAAAAATGATACCGAAAGTTCTGTTTTGGTTGGGCCGAACCCAAGTTGTGACACCACAAAAATCCACACTCCAATCCATGAATTAATTGAGTAATTAATTCTATTTCTTTTGAGGAATTGATTCCTAAAATCCTGATTTTTGATACTCAAGGACTAGTATTTGACTAGTCAATCTTTAAGTTGTGTTGTACATTGTGCTTTGAGAGGAGTTCCCTTGTTCCTTACACTTTCTATGAGTTAGTAAGGGTATCCTTGTCTTTTCACCAAGAGTTAGTTTTGTAACCTAAACCTAGAAGACTTCTTCATTTTCCATCCCTAACAATTCCTAGAAAATATCTCTACCTTCTCTCTAGAAAAGAAGAGTAGCTTGTTCTTCAAGCCTATTGAGACCATTGTCAAGATTCCAAGTTTTGCTTCCAAGATTCAATCTTTCCTCTATTTGGGCATCTAGAAGGGTAAGATCTAAGCTTGTATAGTCTTTTTGGTTCCATCTTAGTTGTCTTTTCTTAAAGGTAGGATCTTTATGATCTTTTGGTTTGATCTTGAAGTGGGTGTGGCTAGTGAGCTTAGTGGAGAGCTTGTTGTGGTGTAAGAGGAGTCTTTTGGTCTTCAAGAGGTAACCCATGCTCTACAAAACTTATTTTGCTTACCTATATATGATTTCTTAGCTTCTATTTGTGTTTTGCTATGAAATGTGAGAGTTTATGCATTTATCTTGTGATATTGCATATCTAGAGCTTGTGTTTAGGCTTCCTTTGTGCAATTGCTTGGCATGTTCCCTGGTTCAAGTCATTTTGTTGTGTTTGGTGAGATTTGGTGTGTTTTGGACTTGAATTTGTGTTTGGAGGAGAAAATCCCCTAGCGTGTGTGTTGTTCGTACCTTCTGTTTGGTTGATGATAACTTGTGTTATTCATCGTTGTTGTTGTTGGGTGCTGACCCGTTTCTTGATCGAGTGTGTTTCATACCTTCTTTGTAATCCGTTGCTTGACTTTCGTGTGAGTGGTGGTGCGTGTGTGGCTCTACCTGGATTGCACGATTAGTGGTATGGGACGCTAGTCACCAAGGTATTGCAGCGGTCCTCGTAGTGGCCCTGACGTGATTATGGAGCTGTGGATGAGTCCAGGTTATTAGGGGATAACATTGTGTTATCCGGGCATGTGTTGCCGTGATTGGTGGGTTTTCGTTGGTGGTTTTAGGTGGGGGACGACGGTACCAGCGGAATAAGGTTGGACTTGGCTGTACAGGGGATTTCTGGAGGTAATGGTTGGCTTTGAAGGTACGAGGTTGGGGGTAGCCATAAGGTTGGAACAGGGCATAAGGAAGGCATATCAACTCGTGATGGGTGATGTCACGAGGGCTTGTGTAGTCGTTGTTGTGTGATCTTCTCTCGTGACGTGTGTAGTCACGGAGGCTTGTGTTGTCTGGCATTTGTTGCCGTTGGGTGAGTCTTTATCCTTGTGTGTGGTTAACTTTTGTGGATTGGGATGTGTTCCCAGTGTTATCTTTGTGAGCGGTGAGTCTTGTGTTGTCTTCTGATCTTGGCTTTTGACTTATATATATGTATTCCATTTCGAAAATGGTTTTTATATCTTATATCTACCTATTTATGATACTT